GAGCTGATGGTTGTTTTCCCAGTGCTTTGGATTCTCCTCAGTTTTCAGGATCTCGAGCTCTGTGGTTCCTTGAAGCTACACTAGTCATGTACTTTGGTGTAGTGTGGTGCTCTATGTAATCATTCACTCAGGAATCATTTTGTAGGGAAAAATGTTGGAGTAGTGCAGAATTCAGTGGTGAATGTGGCTTGTTGGTGTGTTCCCTTAGTATCTGGTCAAAACAACCAGCAAAGGCACTGGGCTGTTCTGCCCCATCTGCAGCTGCTCCTGAAGAGCCAGCCTGGGTTGGTGCTTTACCTCTGTGTGAACTGAACTGGCTGCAACTTGTCCTCTCCTGAGCCTGCTCCCTTGGTTCCCAGCCCAGTCCTGCTAATACCCTTTGAGAGAACAATGGCAGAGGGCACCCCTTGTTTTAGTGGCACATTCCCTGCTCCTGCTGTTTGTAGGGGAACTAGGGATGGCTTTTCCTCATGCAGATTTACTGGAGCCACAGTCTTTTATCTTAGAAACTCCGGCTTAGATCCTGTCTAAAAGCAGCAGGTTTTTATCAAGATGTAAAACAAGTGTCAGCTGGGAGGAGTCCTGACTAGCCTGAACCAGAAACCTTACCCTCAGCTGTGAAGGCAGTCTCTGATTTGCTTAACATGGGCAACGTGTAACAGGAAAAGTCCATTTTTATGCAATTAGAAAAGTTATTATTCCTCCTTATGTCCTGGAAAAGCACGTTTTTCACTTGGGGAGTTGGACAACAATGGAAAACACTCTATGACCCCATTCTCAGCTCTTTGAACACGTAATTCCCACACAGCTGAACATGGGAGCCACCTTCACTGCATCTCTGAGCATTCATTTCTGCTCTACATGTGCTCCATGCACCAAGTCCAAAATGGTGTTTTCCTTCCTTTCAGCTGAGCTGAGGAGGCCTTTATCCAAGTCAGCAGTACATATGTCCACACATCAGAACATTCTCAATTACAAGCTTAAGTTTCTGTGGGCTTTCACTGTATGGCACATTCTTCACTGTCTTAAACTTTATTGTGGTTTCCACAGTGATCTTTCCTGATGCATCCCCAGCCTTTCCTACAGGATGCTCAGCAGTGTGGGTGGAGTGGGAAAGGCAGAACAACTGCTGTGTGAGGAGGAACACACTGGTGCATTGGATGAGGCTTATGGAAAAGAGTTACTTCTCCAGTTTCCCTAATAAGTACACACTGGTCCTCTTGAAATGGGAGACAGCAAGTTAGGAAATGCTGTTTGAGTAGTTGGCCATGTTGAAAAGGAGAGATGAGAGCCCTGCTTCTCCTGGCTTTTCCTACCATTTCGTTACAGTAAAAACCAACCTGTTGGGTGCTGAGCTGTGGATGCTTTAGCAAAGCCCTTGTAATGCTTTTGTAGTTTTGTTAAACTTGTATTACTGAGACAAAGAGGGTTCCAGACTGAGGACAAACCTTCCCCTGCCCACTGCTCCTGGCTCTGCATGAGAGACTGGACAGGTCATGGAAGTTTGGGTTTGCTCATTTATAAAACTGGTATTGTACTTTTAGGTATATTTTCTTACCTACATATGCATACTTATAAATTTTTCACTTCTGCAGAGGAGAAATGGCTCATAAAACCAAGGTAACACTATACTTAGTTGCTGCTTTTCCTCACCTGCCTTGGGATTGGAAACTTCTCCCTGCCACGGTGGTGGTTTTGGGAAGTTGAAATGTGCAATGCAACCAGTAATATGGCACCAAAATAGGTTTGGTATTGATTAGTATCCAGAGACTAAGCATTGCTCTGCCTGGTGCTGTTGTTTAAGCTGGAGTGTAGCTGTTCCACCAGCTGCCAAGATCCAAGCTGTTTTCTTTGAAAACCTAAGGGGTTTTTTAACTTTTACACTGAATTTTGGGCCTTGACCTGTATCTTGGTGAATAATTCTTAGCATCCAGCTTCTGGGATGTCACTCTCCTGTCAGATTTCGGTGTGACAGGTGGTTGCATGTTTGGTTTGGGTACCATACACATAAATAATATTCCTTTGATGTCTGTGGTAGCTTTCCTGTCCTGGTCTTAAACCACCCTTTTATTCCAAGAGCATTTTAAAATTATTATTTTTGTTTCTGTCTAAGTTTATAATCCTCCATTTCTTCTCTCTTCTGTGTTTTGCAATTTTCATATGTGCTAAATGTTTCCTTCTCTGAGGGTTGTGTTGATGTGCAGTGGCACCCCCATAGCCAGGGCCAAGGCAGCCAGTCCCAGGAGCTGCACTCTGCCCCTCGGGGTCCCTCCAGCCCTGCATGTTCTGTGATCCCAGGAGTTATTGCAGAGCCTTTCCAGAAGCCAGGCTCTGTCCTCCCACAGGTGTATCTCAGCGATGCTGGAGAGTTTTTTGGGGGTAGAAGTTACTACACGGACACAGTTATTTGCCCTCCAAAGCAGTGAGGAGCTGGAAAGCTGAATCCAGCTCTAATGAATGAAGTCCCAAAGCTGGCAGCATTCAGCACTTTCATGGGCTGGGGATATTTTCTAGCAAGAAAATTAATTTCTGAGACTTGTTGACAGAAACATCAGGAATGGATCTGCTGCCTTTGTCTCCACCCACCCCAGCCAAGAGTGGGGGGAGAGAAGCAGCTTTTTTATAAATAGCTCTGTTCCTGTTGTATTTGTAAATTTGGTGCTTTTTGTGTCAGTGACATCACCCTCTTCTCCATGGCAACCCCCTCTGATAGCAAAACTGCAGGGTACTGCCAGAGGAACTCAAACCAGCACATGAACAGGTTGAATTGAGATGAGTTAATTGAGAAATAGTGCAGGGGCAACAGGAGGGGGTGGGAAACAGCAGCGAGGAGGTTCCTGCCAGCTCTGCTGCCCTGGAAAACTGTCCCCTGGAATGGTTGGTTCCCAAAGCTCTGCCCCATCTCCTCTTTGTGTAAGTCCCTGTCAGGAGGAGGCAGGTGGAAGGCAGGCAGGCATCTTATTCCCCATCTCCTGTGTGTCTGGAGAGCAGCACTACAGGTGACTAAGCAGGAGGAGCATGGCTGACTCACTCCTGAGTTATTTTCTCACTCCTGTTCTCTTCCCCCTCCCATCTTTTCTGTTTGTTTTTTAGCTTTCACCCGACAGTTTGCATTTTTCCCCAGGCCCTGATGTGAAAGAATTAGCAGCAGGCTTTCTTGTTACCTAATGTTCACAAAAATGTGCTTGTGGTTATCCACGGGGGAAATGGAAGCCAACTCCAAAAGCAAGAAAAAAGAGTTCTCTGGATAAAACACCTCCATCTTAAAAAAAAAAAAAGGTGCATCTCCTTTCTGAATTGTTGTTCAGGAAATACTAAAGTGACTGACATGCCAGAAAGCTGTAAATAACTGGCTTCTTTATCAAGATACCTGTGGAAAACACCTAATTGCCTCACTGGCTGCCCTGCTGGTCTTGACTTGATTTCTGACCCAGCTGCAGTGGGGGAAACCATTGCACTTGCTGCCTTGACTACAGCATTGGGTTCTGCTGGTTTCCACTTGGGACTGAGGAGCAGGAGCGTAATGGTTCCAGCTGCTTCAATCAGCTTCATAAATCTGTCCTCATTTACACACCTATGAAGTCTGAAGCCTTAGAACAGTTTCCCTTCCTTCTGCAGGGTGCCAGGAGACCTGGTGCTGAAATTTAGCCTGTAGAGGTGTCAGCCTTGTATTAGAGTTGGTGTTTTTGTGACACAGTGGGACACATGTTGGTCTTGTGTAACTTGTCCAAGGTTCCCTGAGCTCTGACATCCAGAGAGGGGCAAGGCAACACTCCCCACCCTGGGAAGGAACTCTGTGATGGGGCAGCACTGCACCTGCCAGTCGTGGCCTGCCGTTTGCAGGGCCCAGGAGCCTTGAACCACAGACTCTCCCAGTGTGATGCTCTGCTACTGCAGCTCCCTCCCCATCCCAGTGTGAAGCCAAGCCTGTGATTTCCAGGCTTGGTTGAGGGGAAATGCACGGAGTCTTTACACACCGAAATATTGATGAGTATCTTGCTCTTGCCTTTTGTGCAAAATGCCACTCAAGGCACTGTGCCATCCTCTCTGCTGAGCTCACAGCATCAGCCCACGACAAGAAAGGTCCCAGAAAACATTGACTCACTGCATCCCAGCATCCTGCCAGGGGATGTGTCTGCAGAGAGATCTCCTCAGCTGGAGCGAAGTTTAATGGAATGGATCACTGTGAGGCTGTTTTACCTTCCCTGAGTGTGCTGCCACCTGTGCTGCCTGCCAGGACAAGGCCTGGGGGGCACTGGGGTCGCTGCCAGTGCTGGGCAGGACGCAGCTGGAGCTGGGGGTTTGCATGTGCAGGAGGAGCTTTCTGGAGAAGCTTTCAGATGAAATTGCTGAGAATTTTTGCCTGAAGCAAGGGATGTTTCCCATGTTTAAGACAAGCAGTAACCTGCAGTTAGAAGGAAGAAGGGACTGAATTCACTCCAGAAGTATTTCTCCAGGATCTTTTTTTCAAGGTAAGCCTGCTCTTGTGGGAGGTAGATGGGGCAACAGGGTCCACTGTTCTGAACTCTAAAACTGAGGCGATTTCTACATTTTTGTTACCTCTCCAAGCTGTAGAACTGAAATAAATCTGTCTCTGGCACTCCCTTTTTAGGCTGAAAATTTAAATTGGCCATTAAGAACTAATTTTCTGAGGTCTGAACCCTTAAGAAAGGGGTGAGGGAGAATGTTTTTAACACTGCTGTGTGCCTGCCTGTGTTCTAGTGGTGAATGAATGCCTGACTGTGCCTCTAAACCATATATTTAAATAGCAGAATAATGGGCGTTGTACAACAGCAGGTGAATGAAAGTAAAGTGTAGTAAACAGACATCAGCTTATGGTTTATTAATTTTATTTAGTGGTTTTAAACATTTATAGAGTATTTGTTGTCCTGTAGGAGGCAAAATGATGGTTCCTGCCTTGAACTGGAAGGTTTTTAATTGGCACGGTTTGAAGAAATGTTGGTGAAAGCAAGAGAAAGGAGATAGGTTTTTTTAAGCATCTATCTGAATGGCACCTGAACAACCAGTTTATTGCTGTTGAAAACTATTTGTGGAGAGACCAGAGGAGAGGTCCTTGTCCCAGCTGCAGGAAAAACCTTATTTAAGGTAGGAAAAAAATATCTTGAATGTACAGAGATGGCTCTGAAAAATACCTGGTAACATCTAAAAATTGTGTAATCATCTCCTCCTGCCCATTATAAACCATAAACTGAAACTCCTCCTAGCTGGGAACCCTCCAGACTGAGAGTTGTGTGCTTAGGTTGTGGGGGATAAATTACAGTCCTTGATGAAAGTCCAGTGGAGGTGCTGGAGCCTTGGAAGAATGCACTTGCTGAGCCTGGAAGTGCAAGGCAGAGTGTCCACATCTTCCCTTTGCACACTGATGGATGTGATAGCTGTATGCAGTTCTCTTTTGCCCATGGGAAAGGAATAGTATGTGTGCCCATAAAAGCAAATCCACCTTCTGTTTAGGGAAGTAACTGTAGTCTGTAAACTCTTGGAAAAAGCCTTGTCGACTCTGTGAGGAGTGAAATGAAAATGCTTTCTGACTGCTGCCTCTTCCTTTCCCCAGGCTGGGGGGGACTGGAGCGGTGCCTTCAGGGAGATTTGTGCTCTGGGAGGGGTGAGGCTGCCTGGGGAAGGGCACCTGTGCCCATGTGGAGCCAGGGGTCTGTGCCAGGAGGGGCCGGTGCCCGCAGCCATTGCATAACCCTGGGCTGGCTCCACAGCCACTGCCAGGCACTGGAGCAGCCAACGTGCTTGGATGCTGTGCTGCAGTTGGATTCCACTGGGTGGAAGTAGTTGAGGGTATTCCTGCCAACTTCCCAGGCAGGAGTCATCTGTTCTGCCTCTGTCGCTCAGGGAGCATGAATGAATGACTCTTGAAACATTAATGTAGAGCAGCTTCCAAGAATGCTGTGTACTGAAGCCTGGAATACATTGTGATCTGATTCATGATCCAGGGTCAGCAAAGGCTTTGAAGAGGTGTTTACCCAGTGGGTGGACACACTGCACTTCAAACTGCCCAAGAAAACCACAACATCAGAGGGCAGGGGAGCAAAGTGTGAGCAAAGCCCCAGAGGAGCAGGGGAACCCAAGAGGGACAGTAGGAGCCACACGCTGTGGGCTGGTGGATGGGACAGCACAGCAGCTTGGGGATCTGGGGGGCTATGGAAGGTGCTGTTGCTCTTGGCAGCGTCACTTGACATCGTTTTAGGTTGGAATTCTGCATAACCGGTGTTCAGCATGGAATGGTTCTTTACATGGGTAAAACCTTGTGTTTTGGCTGATAGGATTTCATGGGAGAGGGAGGCTTTCTGTAGCTCCAGAGAGGGATCAACAGAGGGAAACAAGTGATGCTGCTGAAGAATGCAAAGTAGAGCAAGCTAGATAAAGGTGATCCTAATTGAGGAGGAGGGTTGGTATTTAATTAAAACTACTTCTAAAACCCAGGCTCTTAGCAGTAAAATAAATAATAGCAGGACATGAGTAATTCCTCTTGGGGGAATGTCAGAGACAAAATTACACTAATGTAATAATGAGGGGCCTGTGTGCAATTGCTCAGAGGAACAGGAACAGGGTAGAAGGATTTTTCACTGCTAAGAAGTTCAAATGTGGTTCAAGTCAAAAGGGACCGAAGCCTGTTAAAGCACAAGCTGCTTGGGGCTCTTGGGCTGTCTGAGCTCCTGAGCTGGACTTGGCAATCCCAGCCCAGAGCTGGAGGTCGAGCTCCTGAGCTGGACTTGGCAATCCCAGCCCAGAGCTGGAGGTCGAGCTCCTGAGCTGCTGTAGCGAATGATGGCAAGTTCAGTGTGGCACTTGCACTCCTGCTGCTCAGTCAGGGTGTTTGCAGTGGACTAAAAATAAGTACTTCAGGCCAGACTTGGGACAACTGAGCCATGTGTCGTGCAAGTGGAGGCAAGAAAGGACATTAAACCATCTTGATCTTCCTTATTTCCCTCCCACTCCTCATTTCTAGTTGTGAAATCATCTCGGAGCTCTGCCTGCTGTGATGCCCATTTTGATGAGGTGGTTAAATAGCATAAACTCATTAAGCACTCCTGACTAATACTCAGTGACATAACAGCATTTCTTCTCCATAGCTGGCTTGCATAAATGCTGCATTTCAGTTTGGGTTACCCTTTCCCTGTCACGCTTCTTGTTTCTGTGATGTCCATCTGTTTACCAGACAAGGTTCTGGTGGTGGGGGCGGGGAAATAGTCTCAGAATACAAAAAGAACAAGCCCCACAAGCAAGGCCAGCTGGGGCTTGGAGCAGCCTGGTCCTGAGCAGTGAGTGCAGCCCCGCTCCAGCTCTGAGCGGGGTCACTGGTGCAGCCCCAGCTGAGGCCCTGCAGCAGCATCCCCTGGCCAGGCCTGTGTCCTGCTGCTGTGCTGTGGAGAGGTGAAACACCACGTGTAGGAAAGATGGTTTAGTTGTTAAAATGAAACATATCATTTCAAACTAGATAGCAAATGTACCCAGCAGCTTCAGCAGAGGCAGTGACTGTGAACAGATCAAGTCAACTTGATGTGTCTGAGCTTGATTGGTTTTCCCCTGAGAACGGGTTCAGTTGGGCTGTCTGTGGTGTCGGGGCTACCTTAGTGATGCCCTTCTGGCCTTCTGACTCTCCTTTCTGCCACAGGTATCTGTTCTGGATACCTTTTTTCCCCCCACCTGTGTCAGCCTTGGAGTTTTCTTTCAAATCTGTGACTTCAGAAGGCACAGCAGGAGCTGAGGGTCTTTATAGCAGAACTGGAGAGCTGGGCTTAGATGGGGGGAAGAGGTGTGAAAGTCCTTCCTTAATCTGGACCAGGAACAGAGGAGTTAATATGTGTGGTGGCCAGAAGGCTCTACACAGATCTTAAAATAACCAAGAACAGGATAATTTGGCTTAAAAAACCATCTGGGTCTTGATTCAATGCTCATTAAAATTCATAGTAGCCTTATGACTGGCTTGTGGAAGAATTAAGTAGGGTGTTACACTTTATAATGAGTACTTTGGGCCCTGGCCAAGAAAGTACATCACTGCCTATAACAATGCTAGAAATTAACTTCTTTCCTGTAACATACAGCTCAGAATCAGGATCTTTGAAGCACTTGTGGAAGTCAGTGAAAAAGCTCTGCTTTCAAGGGATTTTGGATTGCACCCCCAGAACAGCTGTTAGGGCTGACTCTGGGAAGAAGTCTCTGGGGAGTGGCCTCTGAGCTGTTCCTGCTGCAGCAAGCTGTCCACTTCGGGCACACTCACAGGGAATCTGCAGGAATCAGAGCTCTGAGTGTGCAGGGAGAAGGGGGAAATCAGACTGCAAACTCTGCAATATAAAATGAAAAATGTGTGCTGTTTATTTCCTTAGAAACGTAAATGTCATAACTAATGTCACACGTAGTTCAGGTCTTGTAGCACCTCATCAGCCATAAGATGCTCCTGTCTGCGACTGCTACTGAGGCAACCTCCTGGTTTCTGACCCTTTCTTATAAAGTACCGGCCGATGTTAATAGGGAAGAAAATACCAATTCTGCTGCTCACTCCCAAATGGGGAGTTTGCAGAGCTCTTTGGGCTTTTGTGCTCTCTTCCAAGTTCTAAATATGTTCTCCCGAAGCGTCTCCGAACAGCAGCTGAGTGACGTAAAGCTGAGCCAGGAACTTATTTAGGGAACGTTGCCTTTTATTCCTGTGCCATTTAAAGGCATGTTTTTAAAAAGGTCTCTTAGAACTACGGGTCACCTGAATTGTGTCTGGCTACTCCTAACTGGTGGTCTGGGTGGTGGGCTGTGGCTGTACCTTCAACAAATGGCAGTCCCAGTTTAAAGAAGGAAATGAAGGAATTTTCCAGATAACTACTCAAGTATTTCTGTAACAAATCTTTGTTCACAACTCTACCCCAGGCTTTCAGTTTTCATCAAAGTTCTGAAGACCTAAATAAGAAAATGCTCATTTTGAGTGTTAACAAGAATTTGTTTTCAAAGGTCACATGTGCAAATGAACTAACTTAATACTTATTTATTTGAACGTATTTTTTTTTTCTGAATTCATTTGCTTGTAAAATTTATTTGGCACTTCAGAGAGCACATGAGCAAGAAAAGTATTTTTGAATTAGTAGCTTGAGGAATGATGAAGTAGATGATGAACTGAAGTTTTTCAGTTATTTTTACAATGCCATCTTCAGAATCTCTAAATGTGCAGAATGGGAAACATTACATTTTATTTACAGTTTAAACGACTATGTTTTATGTCGCTCCTTCTTGAATTATTATAATTCAGAATGTGGAGATTTCCTTTATGGTTTATATAGATATAAATAGACACGTCTCAGTGGATTATTTTCTGGTGTCATGTGGGAGAGGATTCCGGTTGAGTTATTCCACCATGGTTCCCCTCTCCCAGCAGCCAGCAGGGCCCAGGCTCATTCCAAAGGAAGGACGTTTGCTCTGCCAGGAGCCAGCAGGTCCGTGTGCTCAGGAGGGCTGTGGCTGTGCCCAGTCTGGCCTCCATTAATCTCAGGGTGCCTGTCCTCTGGAACAGGCACTGCCTGACTTGAGTGCACGTTTCAGTTCCTTACTGTGGCATCTGACAGCATTAATAGTTGCACACACACTTTGGGGAGTTGTGAAACTTATTTTTAATGGAGAAAGTGGCAGTTGGAGCTTTATTGTGTGTGCTGCTGAAACTGTGTCCCAGAGCAACCAGCACCTCACGCTGTCTTAGGCTGGGATTGAGGCTCTTATAAATTCCAGCCCAAATGAAGGCTGGAGGAGATTGCTGAAGATAAAGAAAATGAGAGGCTTCTGTAACTACTGTCAGAAGAGACCAAAAATCACTCTTATGGGAGGTAGAAATGAACTTTTTCTCTCTCCTCTGTTGTAGCAGTTAAGAGCACCAGACAAGGATGTCACAGCTACCATTTTTCTATATTACATCAATAAATCTCTGAGTGGGGACTATAACCATTTAATCCTTTCCAGCCCCTCCTGAGGACTGCAGAGCATTCACAGCTTGTGGAGCCAAGGGAAACTGAGGGTACAACATTGGGACAAGCTCCTTTCAGTGGCAGAACAAGCAGGTCCAGTTCCTGCACTGCAGGTTTGTGGCTGCTGAACTGTAG